CTTGAAAAGAATTCAAGATCTTTGAAAGTACATTTATTTCACAACATCTGCACGTCAAATAGTGATGAATGCCCTTTTTAACTATATGAGAAAGTAGCATTTGTCTCTTTAAGGAAACCTCTATAAAGTAGGCAATACTCTTAGCAATACCAATAGATTTATGAAAAGTTTTTCAAATTTATTCATTTATTTATATAAAATTTTAAAGTATATTCAGGAGAAACCTCATCATAATAAAAATACTAGATTTAAAAAATGATTTCTACCTATATTTAGAAAATCACTAATATAAAAATGTCTGATATTCCATTTATCCTACTACAACATAATTCATAATATCTTTATGTTAAGACTATTGAGTGGTAAACATACTTTCCAAAAATTTTCTCTTTGTACCATGACCAAATGTTTTTCTAAACTTTATTTTATTTTATTTTGTGTGTATGTGTGTTGGTTATTTATTTATTTATTTATTTATTTATTTATTTATTTCAGCATATTATGGGAATACAAATGTTTAGGATACATATATTGCCTTTGCTCTACCTGAGTCAGAGCTTCAAGCGTGTCCATCCTCCAGACTGTGCGCACTGTACCCATTAGGTGTGAATATACCCATCCCCTCCTCCCACCTTCCACCTTCCTGACATGTGATGAATGTTACTACTATATGTGCGCTTAAGTGTTGATCAGTTAATACAAATTTGCTGGTGAGTACATGTGGTGCTTGTTTTACCATTCTTGTGATACTTCACTTAGAAGCTCTTGCTCTCTCCAGGACTATATAAGAGATGCTAGATCACCATTGTTTTTCGTAGCTGAGTAGAATAAAGCTTATTTTAGAAGATGATTTTTTCATGACCTCTGCTGTCTATAACAATATTGTATCTATTTAAGTGAAAGAATTTTAAAACCTGAACATATTGGACTACAGTTATGAAGATATTAGTGCAAAAATTTCAGCTGCTGTTTGTTCTCCTTGCACTACCTGCATACTCTAATCATACATTTTAGAGCTTGGAAATAAAATTTCTGCAGTCCAAGAATCTCATAAACAAGCTTCATTTACCTTCCTAACACTAAACATAATGAGTGAATTTATATACAACTGTAAAATTGTGTATATATGTACATATATATAAATATAAGCATATACAAACACATGCATATGTGTGACTGTGTATATAAATGTATGTATGATATATGTATATATCCATAAATGTATACACATATGTGCATAAATCTGCAGTATAATAGTTTACAAATATAAAATTATAAAAATATTATTTTAAAAGCACAGCAACAGAGTCCATTTACCATAAGAATTATATATACCTTGTTGATATGCAAGGATCTGGGAATCAAATAATGGGTTAGATTCAGTGCATATTAGCAATGAAATAGAAAAAAAAAATTATGTCTCTCAGCTTTAGTTCTCTAATTTCATAAGCCCCCACTTGGGGTCTGATACCATTGTCACCAACCTAAGTATTTTTCCCATAAGAATCTACTGAAATCACTGAGGCAAAGTTCCAGTCAGTTACACTGGATATTCTTTGCTGAGAGTGTTTCCTTTCAGTTTTTGAAAGTAAATTTGAATTTCTTTAACATTCATATTTTAGAGACTTCATTTTTATCAAACCTCCAATCCTGTCTTCGACATGTTTACTATATGTTTGATATCAGAAAAAAAAATTATGTTTTATAGTGCAAAGTCATTTGATTATACATTCAGTAAAATATAAAAGAAGAGTTGTTGCCTTCCATGACAGAATGATATTTTCCCCCAAACTACAAAAGAGAACACTCAATTTAGAAATTTCTTTTGTGGTCTGAGGAACCATAATTCCAGTAGAAAATTCCCCCACTTGCTCTTTATTTACTACTAATTAGAATGGAATTATAAGGATTATCTGGAGTAATCATGGGCAAAATTATGTTTTAAAAAAGGGAAATAATGGAAATTGTTAAGATTAGGATGTATGTATGCCATTGTTGTATGTCATGGTACCATCAAAGCAACTGACTCTAAACCTCCTTTCTTGTCTATATTTTTGGGTATTAAGACAGCCAACTGATACAGCCTTGATTCTGATAGACACATAAGAAAACAAATGAATTAATAGGGTCTAGAGAGGACAAAGGAAATAACAGGGGTTGAAGCATAAGTAATTGAGTAAGTATTAATTTCTGGTCTTAATTCCTCAGCAGCTGGTGAGGTTCCATAAACATAGATCTGTTAAATTTTAGGAAAATTAGTGTCGTTTTGGCAAATAAAATATTTGAAGATTTGGAAGCAATGAGAAATAAAAATAATCAGCTCCCCTGAATTAGGCAGATGAAAAAATAAGACAATTTATTAATATTTGCATACTGATGAATTCAATGGAAATTTTATATGTCAAAATGAAAGCTTCCCAATGTACATTATGACATGGTATGATAGCCTTTTACTACTGTAAAAGATGAAAATTTTATGTACTTTATCATATAAATTTGTATTTCATCTAGAAACTATATAGTTGCTATATTTTTTTCTATTTTCCCTTTTCTTCTTACTCCTCTCTCTCTCTCCCTCTGTCTCTCTCATTGTGTAAGGGAGGGACTCAAATCTCTAGCATATAGATGAGGTGAGACATAATGAAGAAGTGCAAGATGTTATTCCTCATAGCACAAACATCAGTGCAGGTGTGCTGATTTCAGTAACCTGAATTTTTATGGGCCACAGTGTGGACCCAGAAGGAGGGGACATGAATATCCCGGGTTGTGCCACAGCTTAGAAAAGCAGGGCAAAGGTCTTAGCATCTTTTACAGCAAACAGCAAAGAAGCCAGATCTCACTTCACTGGAAACAAGCAATCACATATATTCATGATATTACACATGACATTCATGATGTAATTGCTTTGAATTAATTATTTAACTGTGCAAACAGCTATAGAAACTCCTCAGTATTAGGACACAGACAAATCTTGCTATTTGTTACATTCAACAAAAATGTGCAGGAATTAGTTCAGGGCCTTACTGGACTTTGTCCCTTAGCACATTGTTTCTTGTTTGTCTGCCTTTTTTCTTCTTTTAATCACAGATGCACAGAATTGAGTAAAACATATGTTCAGCCTATTACTTTAACTGAATCCACTACTTTAACCGAGTACCCTTATTATAGCCACAGACTTTGGTTGATTATATGACTCTCCCTTTAAGTCATAATATTTTAAAAATCACAAGTAATATATCATATTTATTATATATAATATATTTATATATGTAAATATGATATATATATCATATTTATTATATCATACAAAATGATAAATATCATTATACTTAAGTTATTTAAGTAATAATCTCATTTTCAAATAATAATTCTCCTTTTCCAAGTACTACAGTAAATTTTTCTATTATATACATTACAATCATGAAAATATTTATGGTGGTAATACACATGATTGTCTTGTTTCTACTGTTGTGAGAAAACTCTCCATGGGTTTCTATTATTTTTGCACATCTTTTAAAGTGAGGCCCTTTGTTCTATACTCTAATTTCAAGGATGTCAGTATAGCAAACAACTCTAAAATATAAAGATTGTGTCTCCCACTGAAACAAAGTTCAGACATTCTTATTTTTCCATATAATAAAATGATGTCTCCGTCAGGAGCAAAAATTAGACATACTAACTACCCATTATAAAGATGATAGCTCTGTAAGCTTGTGGCTTGTGATTCTTGACCTGTAATGTAACTAATTATATGCACATGTATCCATACAAGCTCATCTGTGTTGCTCCATGGGTCTTGGGGAACTGCTGAACAGATGCAAGCTGCTACTTATTGTACCATGAAGAACGAAGACCTTTCATGTAAATATGTCAGATTAATATATAGATTTATCCATAGAGAAAAAGCTCAGATCCTTCATACACACTGACAGTTTGCCAGTGAGGATAGGACTCTGTCAGAGATAAGACTTTATGGAAGAGGAAGGACAAGGATGTTGTGAGGTAGGTTTGGTGATATGAGAAGAGTCCCTGATATTTAGTAGTGTTTGCCTTCACCCAAGTGATGGTATCTGTGTTGGGACTATAAGGCTTCCTTACTGCACTACAGGTTAATGAATGTTTAGAGGCTTGGCAGCCAGAGAAGATGGAAACAAGCTGCCCAAGTGGTATTTTGGTTATTTCTCATTCTCCTCTATACAGGCAGAGGAGAGTAATTGTCCTGACAATGGTGCAATATGCCTTCTATCACCATTAGAGAGGTAATTGGGTTGTGTCTTCTGAGGCAGGGAAGCCCTGAATCACAGAGAAAAACGCCTATCAACACCTCTGGATATTTTCCTTATTTCCAATCCTATAGCCATTGCTCAGTAATTTCATGAGGTAAATGAATGGCACCCAGATGGTGGTGTGAACAAACAAGGCAGTTTGGATTGATATGCTTAGGTAGTTACTTTATAAACGAGAGCTAGACTCTAATGCCTGCCAATGGCCAGGAGGCCATGCGAGGGGCACCATCAACCTGTGATTGCTCTAAGTCACTTGAGGAGATGAAAATTGCAAACATTATTCTCTTTAGGAACTGTACTTCAGGAACTTTATGTGTGGAAGCCAAGCATTAACTTGTAGTGTTCCCTTCTTTCAAAAAACTTAGTGACTCCTACCCTAGGAATAATTACAAAAGACTTTCAAGCATGTAAGGAAACGGAGGGACCATGACCCAAAAAGACAATGGCCATCTGCTTCGTCTGGAGCGCCGCCATTTTCAACATTCCCTCCCAGAAGATAAGCATCTGTTTCCCGCGGAAAACTAAGAAAAACCGCCAAAAAGGCCTCCACCCCCTAAATCTCTGTAGCGGCCTTTCGAAAGCCCTTAAAAACCCTCAGCCTGTAAGAGCCGGAGTTTCTGCCCTCTCAGTCAGAGGCCCTCCTCAGGTTTCCTTATGAAAACCTGTCTTTGCCCACCAAAGCCATCTCTTGCCTCTATTCTTTTCTCACTTTACCTCACATTTTGGTGCCGAAACCCAGGACGGGCATCAGAAGCGGATCTCTTTGCGACCCAGCAAGCAGCCGGCTGCTACAGCTCGTCCGCTCACTCCTGGATCCTAGCGTGTCCGGCTGCGCAGCCGATTGGCCCCGTGCCTTTTCCGTAGCCGGACCCTCCGCTGCCCCTGCGTAAGGCAGTCGCCTCCGCTCTCAGACGAGTTCCTTCGGGGCCGGGTCCAAGTCAGGGGTTTATACTGACCTCACAGTTGCCAGGAGGTTTCCGGGTTCTCGTCTCTCTTCGTTCTGTTCTCTTTCACTTTCCTGGCTTCAGCGGTGAGAGATCATTTGCAGATTCCTTCTCAAACATCCAACAGCCAAAGGATTCGCCTGAGCACGGGTAAGAAGTGGCCTTCCTTGTCGTCCCCCACAGTACCTGGCACGCGGGATGCGGCGGTCCCTATATTCCTGGGAAATTTTCGGGATCCTTGGTCTCGGCTTGAGAACTCGGGGACGCCTGATTCTCAGCCGCCTCCTCTCACCTCTTCTCTGGAGGTTCATTTCTGGCTCTCGCTTCTCTGAAGGGGACTCCCTTCGGCGTCAGTGAGAGACCTTCAGCTAACTTCGCTGTGGGATCGGGCACCTCTGCCATTCCGCCATCTTCCCCTTTGGGGCGTTTTTCTTCATAACCTTTCGAAACTGGGCCTGCAGGGTGACCTCAAAAAGAAACGCCTCATTTTCTTTTGTAATAGGGCATGGCCCCAATATAAATTGGATAACAACAACCGTTGGCTGAAAAATGGCACATTTGATTATCAGAACCTTCGTGATCTGGACAGGCTTCTAAATAGGAATGAAAAATGGTCAGAAGTCCCCCATGTATAGGCTTTTTCCTATCTCCGCTAGTGCCCATACTCGTGGCAGGATTGTTTCCCTCACCAAGCTCTTTTATTGGGAGAAAACCATCCTTCTAGTCCGTCCTTTGCTACTGCCGAGGAAACCCCTCCTCATGGGCTAGGACGCTCTACTTCCCCCGTGTCACCTCCCCATTCCTCTCCCACACCACCATCTCCTGATGCCACGACACCCCACTTCTTTCCTGCCTGTCTCCCTCCATAACCCGTTCGAAAGAGGGGACTTGGCCCGGTTCCGGCCCTCACATCTTTTTCCCCTCTGGGAAGTAGTGGGCTTAGAAGGTGTTGTGGGAGTCCATGTCTCTTTTACTATGGCTAAACTTTCCCAGATCAAAAAGCCACTGGGTTTCTTCTCAGAAAACCCCACACGATATAGGCAAGAGTTCTTATATCTCACCCAAACCTTTAATTTAACTTGGCATGACTTGTATATCACCCTAACTTCCTCTCTAACACTGGAAGAAAAGGAACTTATCTGGCGTTCAGCCGAAGCTCACAACGATAAACTAACTACACGCTGAGTCTGACCATAAACCTCAGCCCCAGAAGGTATTTAGGTCAGCCTCTTCTCACCGGTCAAGATTGTTATGGATGATAAAATTGCTCTGGACTTCCAACTTCCAGGACGTTCCCTCCTGAAAACCTAATTGGACCTATCCGAGGGGTGACCTGGGCCTCTGATCATGAGATCACATACTGACCTGCCTCTTAGCAGGTGTGGCTAAAAATGCCCATACCACTGTAAACTGGGATAAGATTAGAGGTCACACAGGGGCCACAAGAAAACCCTGCTCTCTTTTTATCTTGCTTGACAGAGGCCTTAACCAAATATACCTGTAACACTAGCTGTAATACTTGCTGCAACAATACCAATTTAAACTTGGAATCCATGGAAGGGCAGACTCTCTTACACCTTCATTTTATCTCTCAGTCTTACCCTGACAACCAAAAAAAATTTTTAAAAATTAGAGAGAGGGTCCCAGACCTCATATACAGAACTCCTTGAAATGACCTTTAAAGTTTTTAACAACAGGGAGGAGGAACACCGGGTACAAAATAAAAGTATCTTCACTTAAAATACCAGATGCTTGCCTCTATCCAAAAGCCAGCTTGAGACAGCTCTCCCCCCAAAACTCCAGGCACTTGCTTTTGATGTGGTACATGTGGACACTGGGCTAAAGCCTGTCCTAATCCTCGTCCACCCTTGAAGTCCTGTCTGTTGTGTGGCCAGTGGGGCCACTGATGGATTGATCTCAACAGGTATGCCCTCCCTGCCCAACTACACCATCTGAGGCCCCCAGACCTCTGCCTAACGAGCTGTCCTCCCTCTTGGTGCTGACACCATAGGACTGAGGCTGCCTAGGCTCGTCAGCCCCCAAATATGGAACGTCCACCGAGCCTCAGATAATCAGGATGGTATCCAGTAAGACTGTTTCATTTCTTCTGGATACAGGGGCAAGTTTATTTGTTCTAACAGAACTCCATAGCCCGACATATTGATCCTCCATCTCTGTAATTGGCATGAAAGACATCAAAGAAACCCCACTTGAAAGCCCCCCTCTTTATTGTGCATTTTTCAATACCGTTTGTATACATTCTTTTTTAGTTTTTCCCTATTGTCCCACTCCCTTACTGGGAAGGGATCTCCTCCATAAACTAGGTGGACAAATTCACTTCCCACAATACATTCCATCCCCACACTTGCTTCTTTGACAGGAGCTTCCTGCCTTCCAAAAAGTGAAGAGACTCTACTTTCAGAAATTGACTCATCAGTCTGAGACACTGACCATCCAGTCATATCCCAGTCTCTATGTGTATGTCCCTCAGTACGCCCTCAGTCCACAAGGACTGAGGAGCATAAAACCCATTATTTCTTGCCTCCTCTCTGAGGGTGTCCTCACCCCTATTCAATCTCCTCATAACACCCCCATTATTGTCAAAAACCCAAATGGCTCCCACCATCTAGTTCAGGACTCCATCAGGTGAATGCAGCAGTGATTCCAGGACACCCAGTGATGCCTAATCCCTACACACTCCTTTCTCAAATACCCTCTTCTGCCACCCTTTTCTCTGTTCTCGATTTAAAAGATGCCTTCTTTTTCATCTTCATGCACAGAGGTTCTCAAACTTCATTCACATTTACTTGGACAGATCCCAACTCACATGTGTCCCAACAATTGACCTGGACAGTTCTACCTCAAGGGTTCAGAGACAGCCCCCATTATATTGGTCAAGCTTTACAGGCTGACTTGGCCCACTTTGCCCCAGCCCCTAGTTCTCTGTTACAATATGTAGATGACCTCCTCCTCTGTAGCCCTTCCCAACAAGAATGCTGGAATAAAACTATTTTCTTTCTCAAATTCTTGGCCCAGTGGGGATACCAGGTCTCTCAGAACAGGGCCCAATTCTTATATCCCAAAGTGTACTACCTCAGGCTTTTAATATCACCCCAACTCTGGGAAATCCTGACAGAGTGAAAAGAGGCAGTTAAAAAAATGCCTCTGCCTGCCATGAAAAGAGATCTCCTTTCATGGCTCGGCATGGTGGTTCATGCCTATAATCCTAGCATTCTGGGAGGCGGAGGCAGGTAGATCGTTTGAGCTCAGTTCAAGATCAGCCTGAGCCCCCATCTCTAAAAAAAAAAATAAAAATAGAAAGAAATTAGCTGGACAACTAAAAATATATAGAAAAAATGAGCCAGGCTTGGTGGCACATACCTATAGTCCCAGCTACTCAAAAGGCTGAGGCAGAAGGATTGCTTGAGCCCAAGAGTTGAGGTTGCTGTGAGGTAGGCTGATGCCACAACACTCTAGCCCAGACCACAGAGTGCACAGAGTGATCTCAAAAAAAAAAAAGAGATCTCCTTTCCTTTCTTGGCATCACAAAGTATTTTCATATACAGATCCCCAATTTTGCCTTAACTGCCAAACCCTTATACAATGCTACAAAAGGAAACTTAGATAAACTACTTACCCTTATCCCTGATATGTGTATATCCATCAAGTCCCTAAAACAGGCTCTACAGCAAGCCCCCATGTTGGGGCTTCTGAATCCCTCCAGGACCTTCCATTTATATCTACACAGTATCCAAAACCTGGCCCTGGGCCTCCTGGCTGAGCCTGTAAGAGATTCTGTACTACCAATTGCTTATATTTCTAAACAATTAAACCCCATTTACCAAGGGTGGCCACTCTGCTTGAAGGTCCTAGCCAATAATCTACTTATCCCAGAAGTGCAAAAGATGACTTTCTATGAGCCCCTACTAGATTTTTCTTCCCATAACCTCCAGGATAGGTTAAGTCACAGAGCTCTTTCTTCTCTCTCTTTCCTTCCAGAATTCAGGTTGTTCATGCCACCCTGATATAGCCCTCCATTTCTTTCCAACGCTGCCCATCACCTAACCCGGCCACTCTTATACCTTCTATTCATTAAGTCTATCCTGAAGACTTTCACTCTTGTTCTGATATTATCGATGTCTCCCTTTCTCTCTTTCACCACATTGGCACCAACCTCATACCAGGTGCCCTTGACTGGTTCATAGATGGCAGTGATACTAAAGCAGCTCCCCTCTCAGTGGGCTATGCCATTGTCCAGGCCTTCCAGGACCCCGACATGATGCAACAATTTCCACCAAGACAGATCATAGAAACATCCCCTTTGCTACTCAGGACAACTTCCCAACAAGAAGAACTAATTGCCTTAATGTGGGCTCTGACCTTGGCCAAAGGGAAAATGGTTAACATCCATACAGACTCTAAATACGCATATAACATGCTACATTCCAATGCCCAAATATGGACAGAACAAGGTTTTCTAGGCAAAAGGCTCTCCTATCATTAATGGCAAATTAATTAATTCCCTCTTCCAGGCTGCCTTACTCCCCATCAAGTCTCCTTCATCCATTGTAAGGGCCACCAAAAGGACCTAAGCTATACTTCCACAGGCAACCGAGAGGCTGACTTTTAGACCAAACAGGCCTCCTCACATCAGGCTATCCTTCATTATGTTTTCCCTTTGATTGGTGCAGACAATCCACAATATACTCAACCCCAAATCAAAAAGCTCAAGGAAGAGGGAGCACATTTTTAAAATCCATATTGGTATAAGAATCCTAAGTTAGTTCTCCCTGATAAATCTGCCCTCCCTTTCCTCAAATACCTTCACGCTCTCTTCCATGCAGACCTAGTTCTGCTTCAACACTTTCTCACCACTCATATTCACCTTTTACCTCAATACAAGGCTCCTTGTATTGTTATCCTTTAAAAGTAATCTTGAATAAAGATGGTCACAGTTTCTTTTCAGGAGATACACAGAAACATGAAACATGAGAGACCCATGGAGAATGGGCTCTGAGAAGTATCCACTCCTTGGTCCTACACCATCTTTGTGTCTGGTTAATTTTCCTATAAGCATTTCACTCTGGCAGCAGCTCTGATTAATGTGACTAATGGAGGCTGCTATTCCAGAAAAAGTAGGGAAGTCGG